CCGGATCCCAGGGGATCCCCTCCATTCCCGGGATCCCCCCTGACCCCGCAGGATTCCCGACCTCTCTCGCGGACCCTGCTGGTGTCGAGGCCTCCGGGCAGGCGATCCTGGGGGAGCAGCAGGGAGCGAACCTCGGGATCCACACGGAATTCCCAGGAATTCCGGGGCGACCCCGAGAGATTCCGGAGATCAACTCCAGGAATTCCCAGGGGGAAAAAAAACCCCCACGGGGAATCCGGGACGCTCCAAAACTCAGGGATCGCTCTGGAATTTTTGGATCCCGATCCCCATTGCAATCCCGATCCCAATCCTGAATCCCAATCTCAATCCCAATCCCAATCCCAAACCCAATCCTGATCCTGATCCCAATCCCAATCCTGATCCCAATCCTGATCCCAATCCCAAACCCGATCCTGATCCCGATTCCGATCCCGATCCTGATTCCAATCCCAATCCCAATCCCAATCCTGATCCCGATCCTGAATCCTGATCTGATCCTGATCCCGATCCTGATCCCGATCCCGATTCCGATTCTGAATCCTGATCCCAATCCCAATCCCAATCCCAATCCCGATCTGATCCTGATCCCGATCCCGATCCCGATCCCAATCTGATCCGATCCTGATCCTGATCCTGATCCCAATCCCAATCCCAACCCCAATCCCGATCCCGATCTGATCCCGATCCCGATCCCAATCCTGGCGTCACCTCCCGGCTCGAGGAGCGGATCAGGATCTTCAGGGTCCTTCCCACGTCCTTTTCCAGCTCCGCCTCCGCCACTCCCTACGGAAAAATCCCGGAAAAAAAACCCCGGGATCAGCCCAACCCCAGCACCGGATCCCAAAAAAAACCCCCGGGATCGAATCCGGGAATTCTCACCGGCTCCTGGAAGTAGAACTGGTAATCGAAGGCGGGATGAGATTCCAGCTTTTCCATGATATCCGTGCTGGGATCGGCCGGGCGGTACGGGGTGTTCAGCGAGGCCACGGCTCTGGGAATTCCGGGATTTCCCGGGATTTTTCTGGGATTTTCTGGGGTTTTTCTGGGATTTTTTCCAGGATTTTTCCAAGATTTTTTGGGATTTCCCAGGATTTTCTGGGATTTTTCTGGGATTTTTTTTTTATTTTTCTGGGATTTCCTGGGATTTTTTCTCAGATTTTCTGGGATTTTCTGGAATTTTATGGGATTTTTCTGAGATTTTCCAGGATTTTTCCAGGATTTTCTGGGATTTTCTGGAATTTTCCTGGATTTCCCAGGATTTTCTGGGAATTCCTGGGATTTTTCTGGAATTTTTCCGGACTTTTCTGGGATTTTCTGGGATTTTTCTAGGATATTTCTGAGATTTTCCAGAATTTTCTGGGATTTTTCTGGGATTTTCAAGGATTTTTATGGGATTTTTATGGGATTTTCTGGGATTCTCTGGAATTTTCTGGGATTTCCCAGGATTTTCCAGAATTTTCCAGGATTTCCTGGGACTTTCTGGGATTTTCCCATAATTTCCTGGGATTTTCTGGGATTTTCTGGGATTCTCTGGAGTTTTCTGGAATTTCCCAGGAATTTTCTGGGATTTCCCAGTATTTTTCCAGTATTTTCCAGGATTTCCCAGGATTTTCTGGACTTTTCTGGGACTTTCTGGGATTTTTCTGCGATTTTCCGGGATTTTCCAGGATTTCCCAGGATTTTCTGTGATTTTACTGGAATTTTCTGGAATTTTTCCAGGATTTTCTGGGATTTTTTCCAGGATTATTTTTGGGATTTTCTGGAATTTTTCTGGGATTTTCAAGGATTTTTCTGGGATTTTTCTGGGATTTTCTGGGATTTTTCTGGATTTTTTTCCGGGATTTTTCTGGAATTTTCTGGGATTTTCTAGGATTTTCCAGGATTTCCCAGGATCTTCCCTGGAATTTTCCTGGATTTCCTGGGATTTTTCAGAATTTCCCAGGATTTTTCCGGGATATTTTCCAGGATATTTTCCGGGATTTTCCCTGGAATTTTCCATGATTTTCCCTGGAATTTTCTGGGATTTTCCCTGGAATTTTCTGGGATTTCCCGGGATTTTTCCGGGATATTTTCCGGGATATTTCCCGGGATTTCCCTGGAATTTCCTGGTATTTTTCCACGATTTTCCCTGGAATTTTCCAGGATATTTTCTGGGATTTTCCCTGGAATTTTCCAGGATTTTCCCTGGAATTTTCCAGAATTTTCCCTGGAATTTTCCAGGATATTTTCCGGGCTATTTCCCGGCATTTTCCCTGGAGTTTCCTGGTATTTTTCCGGGATTTTCCCTGGAGTTTCCCGGGATATTCCGCACTCACCGGAGCCTCTCTGGGTAGAACAGGGCCATGTTCCAGGCCACGGCGCCGCCCCAGTCGTGCCCGACCAGGATCACCCGCGCAATTCCCTAGGGAAAACGGAATTCCCAGCATTTATTCCCTCCTTTTTTCCCTCCTTTTCCCCCTTTTTTCCATTTCCATTCCCAGTTTTTTTTCCCGGATTTTTTATCTTTTTTTTTCCATTTAATTCCCCCATTTTTTCAGAATTTTTTCTCCTTTTTTTTCCCTTTAATTTTCCCGTTTTTCCCCTTCTTTTCCCCCTTTTTTCCGTTTTATATTCCCATTTTTTCCCTCTTTTTTTTCCCTCCTTTTTCCCCTCTTTTTTTCCCCCTTTTCCCATTTTTTCTGGATTTTCCCCCCATTTTTCCCTTTAATCTTCCCGTTTTTTCCCTCCTTTTCCCCTGGTTTTTTTTTATTCCCATTTTTTTTTCCTGTTTTTTTTCCTCCTTTTTTTCCCTTTAATTTTCCCATTTTTCCCCTTCTTTCCCCCCTTTTTCCTGTTTTATATTCCCTCTTTTTTTTTTTCCTTTTTTCCTGCTGATTCTCCCCATTTTTCTGGGATTTTTCCCTTTTTCCCCTCCTTTTTTTCCCCCTTTTCCCATTTTTTCTGGATTTTTTCCCCCTTTTTTCCTTCTAATTTTCCCCTTTTTCCCCCTCCTTTTTTCCCTCCTTTTCCCCCTTTTTTCCATTTCCATTCCCATTTTTTTTTCCCGGATTTTTTATCTTTTTTTTCCCATTTAATTCCCCCATTTTTTTTTAATTTTTTCTCCTTTTTTTCCCTTTAATTTTCCCGTTTTTCCCCTTCTTTTCCCCCTTTTTTCCGTTTTATATTCCCATTTTTTCCCTCTTTTTTTTCCCTCCTTTT